AAACTAAGTAGAAAATGAGGAGAAACAGTCCAGAAAGCTCTGTTGAATTTGTACTGAAAAAACCAAGGATGGACCGGATCATTAAATTGATGATGTGAACMTCTGCAGTASCGCGTGAATCAATTGTTTGAATATTTGTAACAATACTGTAAAAATAAYATACAAGTAGTAATTATCTAAGCAGCAGTCGTAATCTATTCACACAAATAACACATGACATCATTGCCAAAAAATGCTTGATTAGTCCAGTCGTATTCCAGCAAGACGACCAAAAAATGGCAGAACCAAGGGTGGTCTCTTGGGGTTGCACAGTTCTCTCTCATAAGGCTAAAGCAGTATCCGACCCGGCGGCCCGAGCGTTCAAAATGGGTCGTCACTGGCAACAAATAGGACGATTGCGTCGTTGGTTGCCGTGCTGAAGGCATAGGAGTATTGTTGCTGGTAATATTTTCCTATTCTTACGCTCGGAAATATATATTTGTCAACGCCCTATTCAGCAATGCAAACCAACCTTAGTCGCCGTCGTCGTCCTCACAGATAGCACATTTTCTTTTCATCTCGTCGCAGTTATCTATTGTCATCAATTTCTTGTTCTGTTCAAACTTGCCAATCAATTCAGTGCAACGATTGCGATCCGATACTCTTATGGATAAATCATCCAATTCTACCAGTTTGCAAGCGTTGGGTTCTGACAGATCGCAATCCATATGGACTTTATGGTGAAGACTCTCAGGGACATCAAGATTGTGGTTGTTTTGGATATCACCAACAAATATTTTGCTCAAATTAGTGAGTGATTCCAGCTCACTCGGAATCGATCCTGTGAGAGAATTCTTGTCTGTTTGATCGAAGAATATTCAGATCATTTGTATACAATGTATGCACCCACGCATATGTTGTGAGGTGAGCAGTGTGCAACATATCGCAGATCGAAGAACATTCGTAAGTATGAATTTGAAAAGAAAAGAAAMGCGACAATCGAGTCAAACGAGTATTTTCAAAACATGGTCAGCAACAGCACTTACACAAATTTAGGACTTCCAAATTCGTCAAAAATCCRAATTCTGTCGGTATCGTCCCACTCAAAGAGTTGGATCCTTCGGAAGAGGGAAAACAAGAAATATTGGTTGAGGTTCATGAATGAGYGTGTTGATAGGGCGGCACCGMATCGAAAAGACATCAGGATGATACTCACGGAGATCCAATATTGTTAAAGATTCCAGTTTTCCGATCTCTGTCGGTATCGTTCCCTGTAGATGATTTCCATCTACGATTTTAGTATAGAAACAGTAGTCAAATGATGAGTATATTATGAGTGAAAAATAGGACCATACAGCTGCTCTCTCTATTGAACAAAGCACATTGTCCKCTTCATGGTAAGTGGTTTCATTTTATCTGATTATCAGATTCTGCAAATAACTCACCGAAGTCTACTTTYGTTAGTTTCGACAGCAATCCAATGGAAGACGGAATAGTACCCTTCAGATCACGTTGTTGGAGATAGAGACATTCCACAGACCGGCCGTTGCATTCCACGCTCCGCCAGATGCATTGTCGGTTTTCGTTGATCCACAGTTTCTCAGAGGAAAATCCGTTCACGACGCCTCCTTTCTGTGCAAGATCGGGTAGGGGGACTGATGAGGCCGGATTACCCGTGGTCAAATCGATTGGAGATGGCACTCCATCGACCATTGTAATATTACTGGTGGCAAAAGGTTGTCCGTCAGTGGTTGTGTTGGTGTTATCTTCCGAAGGAAGAGGTGGTGTGATAGGAGCGGCAAAATTTAGCACGCTCAGTGCGTATCGCTCAAGGAAATTATCATCTTCACACCTCGAATTTTTCGATGTCTCCGAGGTGGCTCGCAGCCATTTGATGGCACGGTGATGTGACTCGTCCCCCATATAGATCGTGGAAGTGTCGAGGTGATTTGAGAGCTTTTCAAAATAACAATCCGGAATCCGTTGAAACATCGCAAATTCGTTGTTTGAGCTTTGCTCCCGAAGAATGACGATCGAGTCATCATTTAAAATGCTCGTCTGGTCACCGTGGAAAACCGTATAGTCTACGAGCCATATAGGTCTTYCTTCGGCTTGCACCGTGCTGGTAGAATTGTTGATGCGAATGGTGCAATTTGCGCCGTCCCTGACCATGAAAGTTTCACTTTGGTTGAACATTTTCCCGTTCACTGGTATTGTAAAAATGTTCACGTCATCACAATCAAGAAGCATCATGGGCTCGATCGTGTCACTAGAAAGTGGGGCCATCATATCGTTTGTCAGCTTGTTCGTTGCATTGTAACTGGCAAMAATGTCGTTGAACAATATCGTGATTGGCACCATGTYGGGGTCCTTGCAAAATGGAAAGCCGTCCCCATAAATGATCTCCTCTCCAAAAGCATTAAGGAGGCCCCCCACGCCACACCTAGAATTGGTACAGGTCGAAGCACAGCAGTCCCCKAAATCGAATTTGTAATATTCCGTGTTAAAGATTTCATCGCAT